ACGAGTGATTAAAAAAGAAGGAAAAGTTTTTTATTTACGTATAATATTATTTTATGGAAGATTTTGTGAATGAAAATAAGAGAGATAAAAATGAAATGAAAATTAATGGGGGTCAAACAGGGTTTAAAGCACCTTTTGGATATAAATTAGGGTTGAGATTTGCCGTCTAATTTGATTTTCCAATTGATTGTCCAATTAATTAATTATTAACATGTCATCAGTTAATGGATTAGTGGTAAAGTTAATAAGGGTAAATTTGAAATAATATATTAATTATTAATGACATGTTAATAATTAATGGGTTGGACAGTTAATTGGACAGCAAATCTCAACTCATAAATTGTTATTAGAGACAAATGTACTAACTAATTAAGCTCCTGTTTGGCCCCTATTTTTTTCAAATTAAAATGGATAGAATAGTATTTTTTGAAGAATGAATGGTTGAAAAAAAAAAGATTTTTTTTGATTTACGTGTAATATTATTTTATGAAAAATTGTGTGATTAAAAATAGAAAAGAGAAAAATGATATTTAATTTAATGGGGCCCAATGAGGGCTAAAGTGTAGAGATAAAAATGTTAAGCCAAAAAATCATGAACAAGAGAGTATGCAAAAAAAAAATTGAAAACCTTAGATGCAACTAAAATGTACTCCAAATTAATATAAGATAGATGATGAAAATATTATCCACACTAAAACTGATTAAATAAAAACTTATAACAAATGAACTAGAATCAATTATACGTGAATTTACTTATAAGTAGGTAAGATTCTTTTTAAAGAAACTTTTCTACTTAAAAAAATGAAGTTATTAAAACATGACTGCAGATTAAAAAGTGAATAAGTAAATTTACTTTTTGAAGAGATATATTTTAAAATAAATATTTTATTTTGACATAAACATACTACTACTTTTAAAAAGGTAATTTTTCCTTAAAATTAAGAGAAAATAAGTTATAGGATAATATTTTTTCTTTCAAAATGTATGTTTGTCCATATATTAATTTACAAAAATAAAAAAATAAAATTATAAACTACGAGACTCTAATCAATGTGTAACTTTGATTATAATTTTTTTTATTTAAATTAGATTATATAGATTGTATTTATAGTCTAAAGTACATGCTCACCATAGACTGCACGAGGATACGCAAAAAGCCAAATGCTGTTAGCACCTCAAATTTATCTAACCTTTCATCTTCGACGCATTGAACGTCCTCACGATCATTTATTGTGGGGACATTAAGAAATTAGTTAAATGACAAAATAATTAAATCCCTGCTTGACACACATTGTAATGAAATTTTTTGGGTAATATGTATTTTACAATAGTAATTTTTGGGAGAATGTGTGGTAAAAAAAGAAGGAAATATTTTTTTTATTTACGTTTAATATTATTTTATTGAAAAATGTGTGATTGAAAAAAAAAAGAGAAAAATGTATTAAAATTTTAATCAGAACCAAACAAGGGTTAAATATTGTATTTATTATACTGGTCCCCTACCCCGCTGTTGAAATTTTTTACTTATAAATAGAATAATTACAAAATAAGCAACAATCCTCGTTTTTTAAATACTAGAGAATAATTACGATTTATGTAGACTGTTTAAAACTTTACAGGTAATAATTACTTCATATACGATGTTTTTAATACAAAGTAAAATATTTTCTACAATACATGTTAAAGAGTACTGGTTAATGAATTACTAGTTGTAATATTCAAATAATCGATACAACACGAGTAGTGTACAAAAACTTGTGGCGCTAATACAATTGACACGTTCATTGTGATTGCGCACTCATGCATTCACACGTTAATATTTTATTTTATGATGTATTTAGTCTAAAGATTAGACCATTTTGAACTAGATAACTTTACAAGTAAGAACGAAATTTTATCAAATCAGTGATTTGGGTACGAGTCTAACTTAAATGGTGAACAAATTTTACTAGTTGAAAGCTTGGTAATCCATACTTCAGAATTTAAATATACAAGTAACGTTTATGGTGGTATTGAATAAGATCTATGGGACGGGTTAGGGGAGGGACGCCTCAACGGCACCTCTCCCAAACCCCGCGAGTTATGCTATTATTAGAAAATAAAATGCAAATTCAAAATGAGTTTTTAATTAGTGAATTGTTTAGAAATAAAATTATTTTTTATTCAAATATAAGTTGGTTCAAATGAATGATAAAAGGCATAATATATACATACACGCACACACGCACATTTTCAAAAATTCGAGTTATACTATTATTAGACAATAAAATGCAAATTCAAAATGAGTTTTTAATTAGTGAATTGTTTAGAAATAAAATTATTTTTTATTCAAATATAAGTTGATTCAAATGAATGATAAAAGACAAGATTATTGTGTTAGTTTATTTTATAGGTTTGCTCTGAAATGATAAGATGTGATACCATTAGTTAGAATGTGTTTAATTGCCATAAAAAATTTCACTTAAAAAAGAAAATGTTTTCCTTGTTTTGAGGAAAACAAAAACAACCTCTCCCCAAAGAAAATATTTTCTTTAAAAACAAAGAAAATTAAACATATTTTCAAAAGTTGAAAAATATTTTCAATGGAAAAAAATAACAATCAAACATCCAAAGTAGAATGTGGATGAAAAACTTATATTTTTCATGGAAGATAAATGTAATCAAACATACAATTTTATTGATGGTTGTTGAATGCATAATTTAAATATGGAAGCTTCTTATCTGAAAAATTTTTAGTTTACCATTTACCATTTTATCTGCATAATTCAAAATGGGTTTTTTATCTTCACGGCCCCGCCCCACCCCGCGACAAGGTTCCCTGCCAATATGTTCGGGGTGAATTTTTTTGCCATCATTATCCGTGGTATTGACAATTTCATTACTTACTATATCTGAATATTACTCGAACAACGTGTACATTTGAATATCATGTCTTAAGACATGTACCATAGAGGGACAGAGAAATCACGATTCAACGTAGTCAAAAGTGATAGAGCTCCACTAGATTGAGATTAAAAACTCTGAGAGCTTATCGCATTCTAAACTTGTAAATTTATTACCATCTATAAGGTAACACACAATTTCCTGCACGAGAATTTCTCAAATGTGAAGAGCCGAGGGCTAGCAAAAAGGCCCATCATGAACCCAAAAAAGTAGGCCCACTTTTAATTTTTAAAATAAAAGCCCAAAACCTGGCTGGCGACAAAACACAGCCTGATGCTATGGCAAAATATATAAATAATTTATAAATTGTTAGATTATATTTTTAAACATATAATTCAATACACCAACAAGTACTATTCATTTATTTAAAACCTGTTTTATTTATTTATAAACTAAATCGTTTATAAATTCTTTCCTGAAGGAGGCTTAATATTCACATTATATATCAGATAAGAGTGAACAAACTATAGGAAAGATTTAGAGCCTATTTGATATTTGAGTCCTATTTTATTGTAAGAAGTATTTTGAAATAGTAAATTGATAGATAACGTGTGATTAAAAAATAAGAAAAAAATTTGAAGTGTGTGTAATATTATTTTATTGAAAAAATATGTGATTAAGAAGATGAGAGAGGAAAATGTATTTTATAAATAATGGAGACTAAACGAACGCTTATTCATCAACAAATGCAGTCCAATATAACCTAGTGTGCAGGTCAAAGTGTTTAAAGCATTCCTTGAAAGCGAATTATAAAACTAATTGTTGTTCGAGTATATTTTATTGAAATTTAGACAAAATTAATAATTGTTTTTGCAATATTGGCATCTGGCAATGTAACGCATCACTTTACGTGATGTGTGTTTGAACCACATTATTTTGAAAGAATGTATTTTAGAATAGGAGATTGATGTAAAATGTGTAGTTAAAAAATGACGACAAATTTTGAATTTACGTATAATATTATTTAATTGAAGAATGTTTAGTTGAAATAATGTTAAATATTTGTTTAAAAATGTATTTTTTAAAAAGAATATGGCTCAAACAAGACTATGATTTCTTTGTAAAGAACTATTTTAACGAAATAAAATAGTATTGTGTTAAAATTTCAGGCATTTTTACTATTAATTGTGAAAGGAATGAGAAAAACTTTAGTCGGATAGTCGCACCGTCTTACGTGATGCAACCGTCAAATGGAGAGCCACCACTTGAATGAATGGTCCACCCTCACCCAATAGTGTGAGGTTGCACTGAGACTTTATTTTTTCTCACTTTCCATCTAGAGTCATGAGGTGGTCTCGATGAGGGTGGACCATTCGATGAGAAAGTGGCTCCTTATTTGGTGACAACTGCTCCATTGAAATTTTTCACGAAAGCAAGATAGCCACAGGCAATCGGGTTTCTCGTGACGTTATACAGTTGTCAAATGGAGAGCCACCATTCGAATGAATGGTTCACCCTCACACAATAGGGTGAGTTGCCCTGAGACTTTATTTTTTCTCACTTTCCATCTAAAGTCTCGAGGTGGTCTTGATGAGGGTAGACCATTTGATGAGAAAGTGGCTCCTTATTCAGTGACAACTGCTCCATCGAAATTTTTCACGAAAGCAAGATAGCCACAGGCAATTGGGTTTCTAGTGAACCAGTTGAATCGAACTAATTACAAGTGATTTGGGAGTTAATTGTTCCAATGGTTACCAAACTTAGGTTCATGTCTTTGTTTGGTCACTGAAATTTAAAATATCGAGTTTTAATCACTAAATTTAAGTTCATATTTTTTATTGCTTACTAAAGTTTAAAATATTGAGTTTTGACTACTAAATTTTGAAAAATATTGTACATTACTCACTGTAAACTTAATATTTTTCAAAGTTCAGCAATTATGTTAGTGAGTAACGGACTGTATTTTTCAAAATTCAATAATCAAAATTCGACATTTTAATATTGATGAACAATTAAAGATATGAACCTAAATTTAATGATTAAAATTTGACATTTTAAATTTTATTGACAAACCAAAAACGTGAACGTAAGTTCATTAACCATTTGGAACAATTAATTTTTGATTTGGCATAGGGGACATTTCACTCAAATCATCACTCCTGTTCGTGATCCTTCTTTACTCTGCAAAACCCAAATTCTGCAGAGCATAGAAAGAAGATTGCATTAATGTGGATATATATGCCCTTAAGGGATCTCCAGTTTCGATTCAATTTCATGATTGCTAAATTCTGTTTTGACAGCCGTATATTTTGAATTCACTTATCGAATCCGCATTTCGCAAGGTTGGTTTTTGTATCCTTTTGTTCTATTTTTAAAGGGGAATTTTATGCCTTACATCTGAATCGCTGTTTGGCGTCTTTGTTTCGCAATCTTTCTGTTTTCTGGTTTTTGATTTTGATTTTTGGGTTTAAAAATTTGAATTATGTGAAACTCAAACATCCCATGAAATTTGTTGGGCTGTCAGTTTTGTATCATCCACCTTACCTAACGAGTCTTTTGCTTGACATCATATAATAGTCCCATTTGCTTTGCCACATTAGTTTTCGTACTGTAGTTTATTAATATTTTCTATTATATGTTGGATCTCAACTTAAGTTCCATTCTTGTTAATTTTAGTAGCTTCTAATGGTTTTCCAGATTTTGGGTAGTCTTGAAGACAGCAAAAGAGTTGAACATCTGTTGATTTTTGCGGAATTACATTGAATTAGATTGGTTTTTATTATTTGGTCGGACATTTATTTTAATACTAAGTGTGAGGGGGAAGATTTTCCAAAGAAAATAAGAAATATACATAATGGCCGATGTGGCAGCTCTAGTAGAGATCTCCGGATCCAGATTTAGTGATTTGGAGCTCATCGGAAGAGGGTCCTTTGGCGATGTTTATAAGGGGTAAGTTCGTTATTCTGTCATTTGACTATACACAGGATTAGTTATAAGTTTCATGGTATTATATTTCATTCTGCAGAATGCTTATCCTGTTTTAGCACCGTACAGTTGCTATGGAATTTGACATGTGGTATTAAAAACATAAGGCCATTATGTCGATAAAGGATTGCTTCTCTAACTGATTGTTTATATTTTTGTAACTTCATTACCCAAAAAAAAAGTTGATTTTTTACGTTTTTGTAACTTCACGATTCAAGTTCTGCAACCTCATCTTGGAGCATGTTGCATCTACTGGGTTGCATCATACCGAGAGAGAACTCGTTGCTTGAGTTTCTTTTTCAAGTTTACTTATTTTTCTCTTTGGAATTAATGTTTCTCTGGGTAAATGTACTGGCATAGCATATAATTTAATCAGATAATAGTTTTCTTTTGTCGTGATGCATAGTTTTGCTTTAAGATGAAAAGGCAGAGCAAAAGTTTGATTGGTAATCCAGTGAACATTTCTTCAGAATGTTCTAGCATGTTCAAGAAGTGAATAGCTCAGCAACAACAACAAACTAATCCATAATGCATAATTATAGGATTTGTAGTTAATTAATTTGTTAGATGGTCACGTAATGTTATCCAGAAGACTGTCGGGAAGTATACCAGGTTTCCCTGCAGCACAAAAATTGTGACATTCTGCTAATAGTCAGTTGTAGGTTTCTGATTCCTCATGTGAGATCTCTTAATAAGCACGTCTCTTTTCTTCTCTAAGGCAACAAGGTAATAACTAAGTCTGCATAAAGATTTAATGGTTCTAATCATTACAAATGAGATCATGCTTGCGATTGCTTCAAGACTTGCTTGGTTCCATATAAACTGGTATAATATTCACATAAGACCAAGTTAAATAAAATTGAAGTCCTCTGCAGAATTTTATTTGGAGTTCATGGAAGATGTAGAGGGCTATTGTTTAAGGATAAGAAAATGAGTTGTGGAAGAGAAATCCTAGTGTTCTAAAATTAAGGCTATTTGGAGCCCCATTTTGTGTAAATAATGAGTTTTGTAATAGTAATCTTTTGAAGAATGTGTAGTTAAAAAGTAGAGAAAAGTTTAAAGTTTTAATTGCAATTTTTTTATATTAATCAATGGGTAATACACAAGAAGTGTATTAGTTTAGAGTATGTTTGGTAGAGATTTTAATCTAATTAATATCAGTTTTTTGACCGTTATTTCATTATTTCAGTCGTCATTTTTGAATTCTTCGCTCACAGATAAGACCCACTTTATCTCTAACGATCAAAAAATCAATTAACAAAATCCCTACCAAACAAGTACTTAAATACGAAAGAAACAACTTAAATTGGGCAACCCGTCTATATGCCTAGGAGTTGCAACATTAAACTAATTATACAATGTTAGATAAAACAATTCTCTAGTCTTTTCTATTGTTCGTATTTGATCATCAAAGCAGCGACTATATCTTTCTCTCCACACACCATACGATGCAATCCGGAATAAGGTTCCATACAAGCTTGCCATCCTTAATGCGCAACTTTCTCCCCTATGCCTTTAACAAGTTTTCCGTACATTGCAAAAATACCCATTTCATGTGTTGAGACGCCAAAACATCGTTCCACAATAAACGAGCAACATCACAATGAAAGAACAAGCGATCAATTGTCTCTGCATCCCTTTTACACATATAGTATCACTTTGTAACATAAAAATCCTTTGTTCGAAGATTGTCCATCGTTGACACCCATCCTCTGCCATTAATACCTGTCCTTTGACAACCATCCATAGTAAAAATATCACCCTTGGAAGGCCCCCAGGGCATATCTCCCGGTGGCAAAGGGGAGGGCGGATAGGGCTCAGCGCGGCAGTGTGCAAAGTTCGATTCCCCGCAAGGTGGAATTGGCTTTGTTGCAAGCGGGAGTTACCATATGGGTTAACAGTTTTGGCCTATCCATGTGCTCTCCACCCTGGCTCCTGGGAGGCACATCCTGCGATTTACCTCCTCCACGATGGCCCAGGGCAGGGTCGGTGGGGGCCCTTAAGGTTGGGGTTCAACCTTTTTTTTTTTTTTAATATCACCCTTGGAAGCAATTTACATTTTCATACCATCTTTCAAGGGTATGGACTCTCCACATATCCCAATAAGGATATAAAATAAGTCCCGATTGAGAAGATACCATCGCGTGTCAACCTCCACATGCTACCATCCCCCTCTCCTACCCCGATGTGCACCTCATACAAAGATGCCACGCATAATCATCCACTTCTCAGTCTTGCAAACCCTGCCAAAAATAATGTTCCAACTGAGACTTTCGTTGTATATATTTAAGACCTCACTCACCGTAGTAGCTGGCACCAGAGCAATACGATGCTAGGGAAATCTCGCCCTAAACGGTTTCTCTCTACACCAAAATTTATCCCAAAATCTAAGTGTGTTAAAATTTCCAACCACAAAAGTCAATCTATCCCGAAAATCGCTCAACTCTTGTCAGATATATCTCCACAAACTCACCCTATAAAAACCACGGGCCTCGACTGAGCACCATTCTCCCTGCATAACACCATATTTTGCTCCTACAATTTATTTCCAAAAACTCTCCCTCTTTACTTTAAATTACCAAATTTACTTAACAAGGCCTTATTAAACAATTCAAGGCTTTTCAATCCGAGACTTCTTGTCGTTATGGGAGAACAAAGTGCACTCCAATTAACCAAATGTAATTTTCTTTCCTCCCCTATGCCTCCCTATAAAAACTACCTTTGAATCCTCTCTAATCTTTTCGCCACTGTTGCAGAAATAGGGAACAATGACAATAAATAAGTAGGGAGATTCGACAAAGTGGACTTGATGAGGGAAAGACGGCCTTCCTTTGAGAGATATATGCGTTTTTACCTAGCCTTCTCTTCACCTTTTCCACAATGCTGTTCCAAATATGAATACTTTTGAACCGTGCTCCTAAAGGAAGCCCAAGATATGAAGGCAGCTGCGCAACTCAGCAACTTAATATAGCAGCCAACTCCTCTATGTTCTCAACCTCTCCCATTGTGGTAGCTTCAGATTTTCACATATTTATCTTCAATTCGGATACAGCCTCAAAGCATAGAAGCAAACGACGCAGGTTTCTAAATTGCTCAATATCCACGTCACAGAAGATCAACGTATCATCTACAAACAACAAATGAGATACATGCATCTGATCAATCAAGAAGCCCCTTAACAATCTCTCTGTTACCGCCTTCTCAAGCATCTTATTGAGAGCCTCCATCACGATGACACATAGCAATGGAGACAAAGGATCTCCTTGCCTCAATCTTTTGCTACTCCGAAAATAGCCCTCAGGATTTTCATTCACCATGATTGAGAAAGAAACTGCAGAGATACAAAACTGGATCCATTGGCACCACTAATTTTCTACCGTCCTCCCTTCCATCCTGCTCTTTTATAACTAACATGTATTGGTTTTTATGACAATTAACATTTCCCACCTCCTCCTCATTCCACGTCTTCAGATCCCTTTTCAAAGCCTTCAATTTTTGATCCAACACGTAACTAGGGGACCCCTTGAAGTCATATGATGCCCACCACTTTCGTACACGCTCTACAAAATTTTATACTTTTAGCCACGTCTTCTTAAACCTAAAGGGCCTCCTTCCAGTGCTCCTCACAATATCAGATAACGAAAGAGAGAAATGATTGGAAAACATCATTCTCAATCTCCTTTGAGTGACCTCTGAATACTTAGCTTCCCACTCCCCACATACCAGAAATTGATCTATTTCGGATAAGACAAGTTGATCCCGATTAGATAACCAAGTAAAATTTCCTTCGCTCATAGGCAAGTCCATCAACATGTTTTCCCTAATGAAATCCAAGAAATCCTCCATGGCCCTTGTTACTCTCCAACCACTAGTCCTCTCAGTAGGGAACTAAATCACATTAAAATCTCCTCCAATACACTTTGGGAGGTTCCATCAATCCATCATACCAGCCATCCTATAATCCTCCTCTACTCTCATCAACATTAGGCCCATAAACTCTTATAAACATCCATTAGAATCCATCCCTAATATTTCTAACAAAAGCGACTGAGAAAATTGCCCTTCACTAACCTCCTCCATATAAAAAACTATAGTATCCCACATATCTAACAAACCTCCTGAGGCCCCCGATGACCCCAGGAACTGATACCCGACATGCTGTCCCCCCATAGACTAGTCACGATAGTCGACAGCCCTCGAAACGACCTCCAACTTTTTTTGTTGTAAGCAAACGTCAGTCCTCCGTCTCCTTATCAAATTACGAATACCCAACATTTTCCCTACTTCATTAAGCCCCCTTACATTCCAACTAGTGATTTTTGGAATCATCTCAATACTCCATCAATCCTCTCCTTGACTCACCTTCTTTGACTTCATAATTCATCAAGCATTCAAGCCACTTAAGCTCATAGTCACCATTTCTTCTTGTTTTATCTCCTGGTGTACCCATCCCTTGTCTTCTACTAGCTTAAATTCCTTGAATAATTGCAAAAGCCTATTTTCTTACCCATCGCATGACATACCTACTATCTTGCTGAATTCCTGAATTTTATGGAGAACCCAATTCGACGGTAGGGGTCACATGTCAAGTGCATTGTCCTTCGCGCTCTCCTCATTGTATGGAGGATCATAGTATTGTCCCTCATTATCCCCTATTTGTACCTCATCACTGTAAATATCTCCCTTTTTGGCAACATCTACCCATACCACTAAAGCTCTATCATTCCTTAGATCCCCCTCACTCGTAGACTTTGAATATCTCCTCGTGTATGTGTTCACTACCATAGTTTTAGCACTCATTGCTCGTTGTTTTTCAATTATCGAAGTTGGACTATCTGCCAGTACAATTTTGGTATCTTGCTCTGTCGCCAAAAGTAACCCCTTTTGTTGGATTCGTGTCCACCGCACCCTCAAATTGTGGAGCAGTTGTCTTTGTTCGCACCAATAATCTCCGACTCCAAATTCAACATACTCAGCCCCCTACCTTATGCTAAGGTTCCACCTCCACTCCTATAGTCGACACCTGGGGCTCACCATTTGGCCCAGTTAGCACCTCTTTGCTATAAGTTTAGTTTGATGTCATCTCCTTGGAGTTCATGATTGCTACATTTGTTCCATTGACTGGACAATCATCCAAATCCATCCTACACTTGTGAGAATAAATCTTCTTGGTGCCCACTACAAACCTACTATCCATCAAACTGATTAACTCATCCAATAATCTAAGTCTTGATGTGGTCCCTTAGTCCAATACTATTCAAAGAGTAATCGGGTATGCCCCCTGTTGTTGCTTCCTTACACTTGTGTGTGTCACTCTTCTCATTAACCTCCCTTTCCTTGTGCCATAGTACCCGCTGTTAGACGTTTTGTGAGGCTTGTAGGTTTGTTGCGACTAGCATAAATTATCCCTTGCCGACTCCCTGCTTCAATTGTTCAACGCTTAGCCTTATCTTTGACAACAAAAGAATCAACGGCTCTCTTTGAAACACATGCGAAACTGAAGCCTAGCCCTCTCCATTCGCCCTTCTGGCACCATCACCACTCCTCTCCAACGTCTCTCTCCATACTGATTATTTTATTGAAAGAATGTGTGATCGAAAATAAGTTTGAGGAAAAATGAGTTTTTAGAAAATGGGGGCTAAATTTCAAATTTTATTTCACTTAGTTTGACGATTTCACTGTTTTTGTAGATTTATATTGCTTTTATATAATTTTTTAAAGTTGTACTTAATTATTTGGATAATCAGTAATCACTAGTTAATTTCAGCAATGACAAGAAGCTAAACATTTTTCTTTATAAACTTGAAATTGACTACATCTTTTTGACCACCACTTTGTTAAATCCAGGTCCAATGATTTTCTCCCATTATTTAATGCAATAAATGCTATGAGTTTTGTTTCGTTTGAGCTCAAGCAAGTTGGAAAGATTCCAGATGTTTTCCTATCTGGGGAAATCTCAATGATATAACACAATGCTCTTTCATTCTAATTTTCTTGTGCGGAAAATTGTGGTCATGAGGTTCTTAGGATATTTGAACCTCAAAATACATGGTAAGCTACGTATTTTTGGGTTCAGAGGATCTGCTGGAAGATCATCTAAACTTGATCTTTTGAGGAAATTTGTCTCGAACACTTTACCATGACTGTAAACATCTTTATTGAACTATTTATCATCTAAAAAATTCTTTTCAATTAAATCAAGTTAACATAGCGAACTACTGAAAAATGGCAAATGGATACACTTTTAAAAATGATGCAAAGGCATGCTACAGATAGGTCATCAATAATAATCCATAAAGCAGTCATTTAAGAAATAAATTATACTAACACTTGTCAATTAGATGAGTAATTAACGCATAGTTGTAATTGGTAGAATTGCTTAGTTTCCATTTGTGTACAGTGATAGCTAACATTCAGCCGTGTAATTTGCCTTATTATTCCTATATATACAAAGGAACCCTCACAATGAGGATTATCGAGTCAAAGGATAAATTGAATACCTTGACATGGTATCAGAGCCATAATTCTGAATTTCTTCGTGGTTTCTCGTGCGATAGAGTAGGTCTTCGGTGGTGTCGGAATTTTCCGACTGCGATAGAGTCGGTCTTCGGTGGTGTCGGAATTCTCCGACCTCTTGAGTGCTGTCGGCGTCTTCGGTGGTGACTGGCGACGTCTTCTTTGAGTTCTGTCAAGACTCTTCATTTGGGTCCTACGTGGTGTCCGATTTTTGGGACTTCTTTGGTGCTGCCGGCGTCTCCCGTGGTGGCCGAGACCGTGCGGTGAACGTGGAGGCCGAGATTGGTGCGGTGAGCGTGGAGGCAGAGACTTGTATTGGTGCGGTGAACGTGAGGCGAGACTGGTGAACCCGACGTGAATTAGAGGTTTGATATTAACCTCTGTTTATTGGGCTAAGTAATCCATTGTTTAATTGGGGTGTTAAAGTTTACATGGACAATTTATCCATTGTTTAATTTGGGTCTTAAAGTTTACTTGGGCTCGGTTTATATTGGGCTTAACTACTTGACCATCACTAGGCTTCATATATCATTCGCAGTCCAGCAAGTCAGTCAGTTTATGCAAACTCCACAACATCTTCATCTTGTGGCAGTTCGTCGCATCATTCGGTATCTCCAAGGTACTCTTCATCGTGGATTATTTTTTCCTTCTGGGTCTCCTATTCGTCTTGTTGCATTTAGTGATGCAGATTGGGCCGATTGCCCTGATACTCGTCGTTCTGTTACGGGTTGGTGTATGTTTCTTGGTAATTCTTTGATCTCCTGGAAGAGTAAAAAGCAGACACGTGTGTCTAAATCTTCAACTGAATCCGAATACCGTGCCATGTCCGCTTCCTGTTCTGAGATTATGTGGCTCCGAGGACTTTTAGCTTAACTTGGCTTTCCTCAGTCTGATCCTACACCCCTTCATGCGGACAACACGAGTGCTATTCAGATTGCTGCAAATCCAATATATCATGAGCGTACAAAGCATATTGAAGTAGATTGTCACTCAATCCGAGAGGCTTTTGACGCAAATATTATTTCTCTTCCGCATATCTCTACTGATCTACAGATTGCTGACATATTCACCAAAGCCATGACACGACAACGTCATCTCTTTCTTGTGGGCAAATTGATGCTTCTTGATCACCGAGCATCAATTTGAGGGGGGATGTCAATTAGATGAGTAATTAACGCATAGTTGTAATTGGTAGAATTGCTTAGTTTCCATTTGTGTACAGTGATAGCTAACATTCAGCCGTGTAATTTGCCTTATTATTCCTATATATACAAAGGAACCCTCACAATGAGGATTATCGAGTCAAAGGATAAATTGAATACCTTGACAACACTTATGATTCAGGTTATCAGCTCATCATATAATGGATATTTAAGAATAAAGGGATAATATAGTTGTTTATAGAAAGCCATTTATTTCAGTCAATTAATGAACAAAGATCATAAGAGTTGAGAGAGTTAAAGATTTAAAAAAGCTGAGAGATGATGAGAAAAAACTTCCTCATTTTTCCGCAAGAGACCACCATTGGGGTCAGAAACAAGCAAAGCTAGCGATGAGAAAGAAATATTCCAGCTATGATGGCACAGTCCCTGTCCTTGCGGAAAAATGACCAGCCCATGTCATTTGAAAAAGTGTGAGAAAGAAATATTCCAGCTGTGATGGTACAATCCCTCTACATTTGTGAAACTGAAGACTCCTTTCACTAAAGTGTAGTAATTGTCAACGTTTTTTTCCAAATTTGTTTTCATGATCATCTTGTCTATATCTATTGAAGTAGATACACTTTATTAAACGCTTTCACTTTTCTGAATGATTGGAGGCGGAAAAAAAAAGTTGAAAATCTTTCCGGCGCATGGATTCCCTATGTAGCATATTGATGGATCATGGAAGTAAAGCATTGCCCACTTCAAAGAAAGTAGTTGCCTGAGAATCTGGAGGGAATTATTAATGCATTTTCACATTTCAAACCCAAATTTTATGCATTACTTTTTTGGAGAAACATGAGAGTCTCAATGGCATGAGGATACAAAACGGTTAAAAGACACTTTCAAACAGTTATGGTTCATCTTGTACTCTCATCTAAAGCACAAGATTCTAATTCTAGAATCATGTTAAGATTTCATCCTTTAATTCGTAAAATTAATGAAATAGGGGTGTGGGTGTTGAAAGGCTTTAGAACCACATGACTAGAAAAAACTTCCCTTTTATGACCTGTGCTTCATCAATCTCCAACTTCCCTTTTATGATCTGTGCTTCATCAATCTCCAGTGCGTATAGTAGATCTGCTTTTGCTTAGGGCTCAAAGCTTTTATCTATGCATTGCCCAGAGGAAAGTCTACAAAAATCCTTATTATTGCTTTTGAGAAGTTACATTTGTTGGATTATTCTTAGCAGCAGAATAGTTAAGCTCATGTATGGGAAGTCATTATAATCGGTTTAAATTATAAATGAAGAGAACTGAGTCATGCATAAGTGGATAGTACTTGTGGGTTCCGCGAAATATGTGGACAAAGAATAGGTTTGACCCTAAGTATTATAATTTAAACCACTCTCAAACAAGTGTTAAATGCTTAATTAGCATTTGTTTAATACTCAATAGATTTTTTTGACCATATTAACAGGTAAATAGACTTAATGAAATTTATTGACTTGCCATCTATGCTTCCTCTGTTGCGTGCCAGCTGCATATTATTCTGATATGTGATTTACAGAATCCCCTGCTATCATCACTTGGAGCCGCAGGGACTGTTAAATTTTAAGTAATTGAGGGGGGGGGGGGGACTGCAAAATATTTCTTCCATAAAATACATTTCATTTAAGTGGCAGCCATGAACCAATCAAGAGGGGTTTTCTTGCTATTTCTAAATTGCTGTCTTAGTATACACTTCCTTTATAAAATACTTTTAATTTGAGTGTGAAGTTATCTTTCTTGATTATCGAGATATTTCTGCCATTTTCCTATTGTAGGTTTGACAAGGAGTTAAACAAGGAAGTTGCCATAAAAGTCATCGATTTAGAAGAATCGTGAGTATATAAACTTTGGCCATCCTTTGTTGCAAAATACGAGATGCTGTTTTCTTTAATTGAATATGGTGACTTTATTATCTGAGATCTTTGGAAGCACTTATCATTTTTAATATCTTTGCTTCTTATTTTATGTTTTCCTCGCTAAGGAAGCAAGTACCCTTGGTTGTGTGTCATATTAGGCTTACCTTAATACCATAATAGAGACTTCCTTCTTTAGAGCTGCCGTATGTTTAACTTGCTTGCTGTAAGTATTCTAAAGTATCATCTGATTTTTCTGCTGCAGAGAGGATGAAATTGAGGACATTCAGAAGGTATCTTTGACATTTCTGTACAGACTTCAAGGAATGAATTTACATAAGAACAAGTACGTTTTTTTATTTACTTTTCATTTTCTACAGGAAATCGCTGTTCTTTCTCAATGTCGATCTCCATATATTACGGAGTATTATGCTTCTATTCTGCACCAGACTAAGCTATGGATAATAATGGAATACATGGCTGGGGGTTCCGTTGCTGATCTGGTAGGCAATTTACTGATAGCAAGTAATTTCTCCAAATTTTGGATTCCATTCCACGTTAAAATGGCTACAGTTAGAAGTCAGATATGAAATATCTTAGATTGATCTAAACCCTCCAAGATAACAATTAGTCTTTGATATTAAATTCCTGTGGATATATCTTTCTATCATCCACCACCTCCATTTTTTTAACTGCTAATTACAAATGTTATGATGCAAATTAATTTTAGTCTTAGTCAAAGTGTCGAAGAGTCATTGTCTAGTTTTATACAAAGTCTTTGTTTCAGTTAATTGTCTTTTAAAAGTTGAGTAGTCAAAGAAGTCTGTTAGTTTTCCTAGATTAATTTATTTGAAGTTTAGCGGTGTCAAGAAGTCATTTTTACTTTAAACAGAGTCAAGAATGCAGCTTTGTGATCAGTTTTATTATCAATATTATTGAAAGTTTATCTAGAACCCTCTTAAAGGCTTTTTCCAGATTTTCCTTAAGAAATCTTGGCTCCAACGGTGTTTGGAGTATTTTAATCTTGGTTACTTTACTTATTTAAGGTTTGACTGTCATTATGTTATCTTTCTTTTGTTTGGTAGACCTCGTGTTGTTTGCAATTCTCTTTCTATACCTGGTCGAACATAACTATAAAAATACATAGACAATTTCTATGCATGTATTTCCCTTGGATGCTCATTCAGGTTTCTTTTGCAAGGCTTCTACTGAGAAGCATTCTTCATGTCCAAATACTGTACCATCCATTCTAGATTAGTGTATAACAGAGGAATATGAAGGTAAATCCTCCTATCAGTGTCTAGATTGTGTTGACATAGTTGACATTTTAATGCAAATGTTTGGTTTAACTCTTGCATATTAGAAGTACGTTCAATTGATTCAACATCGATGATTAAAAAAAAATAATAATAATAAAACACTATACGGTCGATACTATTACAGGATAAATAAGGATACTTATGCTTATTTTCCTCTTACAGATTCAACCAAACCAGCCGCTGGATGAAGTCTCTATATCTTGCATCTTACGGGATTTGCTTCATGCAATCGAATATCTTCACAGTGAAGGGAAAATTCATCGAGATATCAAAGGTACATTACAAGGGGCCATCAGTTAAGTTTACAATAATTAGATCCAATCATACTTTTTAACAGGAACATACATAACCACATTTTTCTAGATCTATATATCTACCATTGGTGTATCCTTTCAATCTTTTTGAAGTAATGGAATAAGCTATTGGAGATGTGCTTTGAAGCTATTGGAGATGTTCTTTGATAGGTGTCAAATGCTCCTTATTTAGTTTTTTATTAAGAAAGATCACATTATCCTTCTAGTTGTTGCGTTAAATTTGAATTAGCAATCCCATCTTCGTCATCTAAATTTTAAGCACATTAGAAATCTTTTTCTTCTTCCTCTAAATTTGTTGGAAATGCTTATCATTGTATTATGTTTTGGCAGCTGCAAACATTTTGTTGACCGAGACTGGTGATGTTAAGGTATAAATTTCCTGCTTGAAGAAATTCAGAATCTTAAAGTTTCTTACGCCATCTTGGAGAGAGTATCCGTTATGGATAGAGTTAAATAGGCCGCCTACTTGTTTTGAAAACTTTATATTTCTTTACTCTGATAGGTTGCAGATTTTGGTGTTTCTGCTCAATTAACAAGGACAATTTCAAGAAGAAAGGTACTGTTTTCTTAAATTCTAAATTTCTCTGATGAAATATATATGTGCAACTTCTGAACCTTTTTCCATCTTAATTTTAATTGTTAGGCTTAATTATTGTATAAGCAACCTTGCTAATGGTTCTGTTTTAATCATGTCTGGTCTTCTAGACTCTGGTTCTAATATTCATTAAATGAGGCTTATGAATTTGGAATGTGTTGACATATTTTCGGTGGCCGATCATTTTTCTGCATAATTTGAGTGCTATGACATTGGTCTTAGTAAAGACAGCATCCTCTTCCCAACTGTGTTTCCACTAGTCTCATCCACTTGCTGTATTGCAGTTATTTTCCAGTTTGGTTAATAAGTGTGAGGAATTCTTTTTATAATTTAACGTGTCTAAAGAGAATTGATTTTCTTGTTCCTGGTTATTGACTATTTATTGTACTCAAAGGGATCATCAAACTCATGCTAATGCAATTAAAAGTTATAGACATTTGTAGGAACACCATTCTGGATGGCTCCAGAAGTAATTCAGAACTCTGAAGGATACAATGAGAAGGTGCAACATCCTAATTTCCACCCTCATGTTTCTTCCACCATTTTATTCCAGTTACCCTTTTCTCCTAACACTATTTTTGATTATGCCGTTTGGTGCTCCTACTCCCTGTTTGATGCTGGGCTTGATGCAGGCTGATATATGGTCTCTAGGAATAACTGCAATTGAGATGGCAAAAGGGGAACCTCCACTTGCGGACCTCCATCCCATGAGAGTTCTATTTATTATACCTCGAGAGAATCCACCACAGGTGTACATTTACTTTCATTTACACTGTGCAGGCTAAATCTCTCTTCTCTCACTTAATGAGAAGGTTTAATCTTATGTCTTGCAGCTAGATGAGCACTTTTCTCGTCCTCTGAAGGAATTCGTATCATTGTGTTTGAAGAAGAATCCCACAGAGGTAGGTTCTATTGAGTTCACACTTTCTCCTTCACCCTTTGCCCGTGCTGTTTTCTGGTTGTTGTCCGACTGGTGCTTCACATTTTTCTTATTCTTCGTGATCAATTTATTGATGTTTATGGATGGATTAGAAGTCGATTTATATGAAAATTTCATAGTTGTCTCACGTCTGTGATATGGGGATTGGAGAGAATCTCCTTTGCAAAGGAGTTCTGGTGTCTAAAACAAGAAGAGAGTCCAAATGTTTTCTCATCGCGAGTCTTGCCTTGTTAATGGTGGACCGTTGTACAACTGCTGTTATTAGTGCGAAACCCCTTAACATGTCAAAGTTTAACCACCTCATCTAAATAAAAGCTTAAGCTGTTATGTAGGGGACAAATTTATTTACATAAATTCAGTCTTTAATACGCCCCTCATGTATAGGTATTCATTTTTTTCTTGAAATTCCTTATACGTGGACAATTTTGATTTTCACAAAGGAGTGACTTCAAGACTTGAACTCATGATCTTTGCCTTCTTGATACTATGTTGAACCCTCTCATCAAAAAGCTAGGCTGTTAGAGGGGAGACAAACATATTTTCTTGTTGTAGATGTACATAAATAGGAAGATTTCTCCATATATGGCGATTTCAACTTTTCTTGGCCTAATTGGTCTGGCTAAGTTGGATGGTGATTTAACAGATCAGCTAGAGCCTGAAGATGGATGAAGATATAAGAATTTTTCAATGAGCACCTAACTTCTGTTTCTATTGCGTTAGTTAACGGACAAGGGAAAGATGTATCTCTGTCACACTCTGTTATGGTAACTAAAATACCCTAGGGATTGATGCTGAACACCGAAAGTAATATATTGATAATTTACTCTATAGGAATCGATGGTTGTTTCTTGAAACTTGCTTATGATGGAGTCTTCATATCAAAATCCTTTTCAATAACTTAATTCAGATGCATTCTTGATGGTTTTTATTAATCTCATGCTTTGAATTGTTGTTATATCATTTTCTAGCAAATAAATAGAGATCAAATTCTCCTAACAAGCTCATTTAATTAAAATCATCGAAAAAGATAGTTTTGTAAGGAACTAAAGTGTTGAACCACTTGATTTAAAAGTTTAAGTTATCAGATTGGGCCAAATGTAATTTGAATATTGTTTTTAATACCTACCCTCAAGTTTATGCGGAATTTATTTTGTTCCCATCAAAAGCTAGCACGTGCACAATTCATTTAAACGAGAGTTTATGAGACTTGACTCGGAACCTTTTCCTGCTCTGGTACCATATTAAGATTTGAGGTTTTCTTGAAAGGTCAACTTGTAGAGTAGCGCAACCCTTTATATATTGGTTAATATATTCAATCTCTATTGTCCTAGAACTTTCTTTATGCCCGTTTCATGGGTCAAATTGGTTTTGATGTATGTGTGTATTATAACTTTCTTGTGCAGTCTATGTTTTATTAAATGGCATATTTTGCCCGTGTTTGGGCTCCATTTTAATTTAATGCATTTGTTTCTTTCTTCATTTTCAACCACACGTTCTTCAATAAAGTAATACCAAACTTTTTTTTTTTTTTTTTAAATCACACATTCTCCAAAAAAAATTACAATTCCAAAATACATTTTCTCCAAATTTTCATTAAAATAGAGCCCAAACAAGGGCGCTTCATTTCATCTCTGTATAAATGTATTCTTCACATCCTTGAAGATCTATGTGCTGTGCCTTCCACCACTGCTGATAAGAACAATGTGTTGGTGGGATGTCATGGTGGTGACATGCATCTATTTTCTCAACAATTATTCCTGATCATTTTGATTTTTCTTTTTTTCCTGTTTGCTTTGTTAGTCATTTGATGTTATGCTTTGTTTGCTAATTTTAGAGGCCAAGTGCAAAGGAACTTCTAAGGCATCGTTTTATCAGAAATGCAAGGAAGAGTCCGAGGCTTTTGGAGAGAATCAGGTTTATCATCTTGTTGCACTGATTTATTTATGAATTTTTTCTCCAAGACCTGTTGTTACAACAATAAGTGTTAATGTCCCTTTGTTAGCTTTCATTGGGACCTGGTATACCACCTGTAAACTTGTATGCCTTGCATGATGGTATAACATGAATATTTTCTATTTAAGAAAAATGGGAATTAATTGTCCTTTTCTGTCACTGAAAGTTGTCTTAATCCCATATCTTTCGGAAGTTCATTTATATGGAGCAGTAACAAATGTTTTTAGTTTTTCTGGGCTTCAGAAATTAGCAAAGATGTAACATTTGATTTGATGTTTCGTGACAGCTGAACTCGAATGTGCTGTAGATAGTTATTTTTAATATATCAAGATATTAGTATTTGAAACTTCAAAATTTAAATTCATGTTTATCGCACCCTTGTAATGCAATTAAGTGATGTAATAACCTGCATTTCTTTTATCTTGCAGAGAGCGCCCAAAGTTCAAAATTGATGAAGAGAGTCCTAAAAATGGTCCAACACCTTTGGGGGAGGCTTCTGGAACTGTGAAGGTGACAAGAGATTCTGGAGTTGAAGATACCATTCAAAACAGGTCAGTTGAATATTATAATACTTATGTTTGCTTATCAGAGATGTTTTATGTGGCTGACTGGTACCAATTGACAGTGGTCAGGCAACGGGTCTGAGAAATGCTGGATGGGATTTCAGCATTGGCGGATCAACTGGCACGCAAACCTCACGAAATGTAGTAAGACCACCTCAGGTTAGAGATAGGAAGTTAGAGGTTCCGTCAAATCAACCAACCTCTAGAAAAAATTTAGAGAGTTATAATAAAGGGTCTTCTGCTTCTGGAACTATGCTTTATACTTCATCAGAGGTCTCCACGAGAAAAGAGGCTAACCATGAAATGAAGCAAGAAAGCTATCTTGAAGATGTATGGAACTGCCACTCCTTATATGTTTATACTGCATTTATTGCACATCATAGATGCATACTTGTTATGTAGCTTAAATCTGAAAATTCGGGAGCTGGATATTCTATAAATTATTTAAATTCATTCTAAAGTAAAAGCATTAAGGTATCTGAACAAGTTCCACTACCTTGGAACATGGGAATCTACTCTTTGGAAACATTATAATTCCTCTGTGTATAAGCAAATATCAGCTTGTCTTTGTTTGGCTGTACTAAGTATCGCTGTAGTCTGTGGCTCTGTGCACTGGCTGTTGATCCGGGCTTCTGATGTCCGCGTTGAGTTTTTGATTATCAGATATAGTTGGTTTCATGCACATTGCATATCATGATCTTATCAACTACCTGAATCTGAATTCTACACAAATACTTTTGCCTCCAAGTGCCATGTTTTCGAATTTAATCACCACCAATGAAAATGATCCCTTGTGCAAATTTAACTCATCCTCGAGATATAATCTATGCAGTCTTGTGCTGAAGACCAAAATATCTCAAACAGATAAGAGTGTGCAAAGATTGAGATTGATGGAATGGCATAAACTTTATAAATTTCTTGAAGAACTTCAAGAATATTATATTTTAATGTCACATTATGTAAAAATCTCTATATTTTGTGTTCACAATCTATAGGAAGAAGCAAGCGGGACAGGAACTATTGTCGTACGATCTCCAAGAGTTCAGATGTCCCTAAGTAACAATAGTTTCAAGGTATGTCTACTCTCTGGTTGAACTTACAAAGTACTTGTGTCCTGTTGTTTTGCTGTTAATGCAATAAGACTTCTATTGGCATTCCAGTCTAGCAGCGTGTTTACCTCTGTTGAAGATGCTTCCATCGGTGGCACTGTTGTTTACCGTGGGCAGCATGATGATTCAGATTCTCCCCGAACTCCGAAGTCTAGATTGGGAATTCAAGAAAGGACTTCTAATGCATCTGTTGAAGACAGTTCTATAAACCTTGCAGAGGTTGTCTTCTGTTTGCTTCCTTACATGCTCTGTCCCATTATTAGCTTATCAAATCAAAGTATCTGCTAAAATTTGTAATATTCCTTCATGTACCTTGATGTAGTTTAAACACGGACCATCCACTTTAACTTTATAATAATTGAAGCTCCATTTTCTATGTTCTTCAAGATGAAAAGATTATTCCAATTGGGAAAGCTGATCATGAAAAGCTGACAAATCTTTTACTAACAATTAGTGATACTATTTATTTTGTTAGAGAATTCTTTATTTCCTAAAAATAGGTATATTTGTGAATGTTGAAATTAAACTTATTAGCATGCATTCTTGTTACTTGTTTTGTGTCCGTATAACATTTCTTTGTTCTTTGGTCCTTAGCTTGATTTATGCAATGCTTCCCCTGATTCACTTTAAAGCTTAATTTTTTTCTGAACATCTAGAAAGATTTCTATTTTGCACATCAACTTCGAATTTATCTACTAACTAAACCAATAGGTATCAACATGACAATTTGACTATATTGCTCATTTATGCTATTATATTTAGGCAAAGGCTGCAATTCAAGCAGGAGCAAGGAAAGGAAATGTTAAGGAAAGGTCTATGTTGGGCAAAGTCAATAAAGACCTGCAGGAAAGCAGAAGTATGGAACAATCATCAACAAGCTCTGAATCGTCAAGGTAATATGCGTACGCTACCCATCATGTGTTTGACGTGCTGCCACTAAAGTTCCATTTGGAATAGATTAATATCTGAATTCTTGTAAAATGTTTTTTACCTACCGATGAAACATGGAACCTCAACCCAGACACTCTCGGGATTATTTTGATGCACAAAAAGCATTTTCTGGATCACACCAAGCGAGTGATGATGAAGATAATGCAAGAACTGCTGCAGCATCTTCATCAGCTCCATTATCCCTGCTTCTTATCCCATCACTTAAAGAGGTAAATCCTCAGATTATTGCTCATTGTTGACCTTCCTGAATTTGATTATACTTTTTCACTTTTACTTTATTATACTCAATATACAGAAGATTTATGTTGATGCTAGATGTAGGCATGCTGCTCAATGTAACTCAACTGAGAGAAGGTATTAGGATGTGCAACTTATGGGGAAGAAAGTTAGTTTAGAAAGACCTATACCAAATATTGATTCAAATTGGACATGACACAATCACAAATGGATTAGAATAAGGAATAATATCAAGCTTAATGCTTAAAAGAGAATCCTAATCGAAATTAGTGTGATTTAACCATTCTTACTGTATGAAGATAGTGATTTAAAATAAGATCACGGAATGGTGGATGAAATAGCTGACTAATTGTAAAATGGATTTTTTTTCCCAAGGAATATTTTAAATTACAAGGAAGTTGAAATGGAAGTTCCATACTAAATTGTTTTGGTGAGAGAGTGGTACTGGAATGATCCATACTACATGAGAGCATATTAAGATTTAAAAGAATTTATCACCTTGATGCTTTAGAGGGAAATTGGACTCAACTAGAGCTATATGTGTTGTAGAACATATAAAGAGCCGTGGGATAAAATCTTATTTGCATGCTAAAACTGTCTTGTCTTAGAGCAGAGCACTACGACCCTTGAAACAAATTCTGTAAGAGATGTTTTCTTGAAAGCTGATTGACGCCTCTATCAAATCAAAGCTGAAACAAAATTAATAAGGAAACAATTGCTGCTTTTAAGTGTGGACTCAGCATTTGTATTTTATGTAATAGTCTTGAAGAGTTTGGGACTATTATAGTGCTGGAGAGGTATCATAGTTATAAATTCTTCTCTGCGTGCAAAATTCATTATTGGTTCTTCGTATGCTTCTAATAATGTATAGCATTTCTGCTTGAAGTAAATGGTTTCTAATGTATTTTTTAATTCTATGGTTGAGTAAAATTGTAAATACTGGCAATCCTATTGAAATCAAGGAATATAGGCCTGCATGCCATCCACACCAGAATAAATAGAGTTTTCGGAAAACCCACTAGTTGAGGAAGACCTCTTAGGAATAAGAAACATAAGACTAAAGAGAGCTAAAAAGGATCTTTCATTGATAATCCTAGAAATCTCAAATGTTAGCAATTTTGGTATGTAGACTAAATAATACAATGCAAGAAAAAGTTCCTTGATACACGGGGATCTAGAACAACAAACTCTCTCCGTCCCATAAAGATAGGCTTTTGGTATGTAGACTAAATAATACAATGCAAGAAAAAGTTCCTTGATACATGGGGATCTAGAACAACAAACTCTCTCCGTCCCATAAAGATAAGCTTACTTTCATTTTTACAAAGATTAAGAAAATATAATTAATATAATTGAAAATATAATTTTTTATTTTTACATTTTTCCTATATACTCCTACATTAAATAACGATTTAAATAAGAATAGTTTATATTTGTTGATAACAAGACACATTTAATAGGGGTATATTAAAAAATCGATAATTTGGGGAGTTGAGATTTGCTGTCTAAATAGCTATCCATTCAATGAATTATTGACATGCCATCAATTTGATTGGTTAGTGGTCAGGTTAAAGAGGGTAAATTTGACAATTTCAAGTTTACCCTCTTTAACTTGGTCATTTCAAGTTTACCCTCTTTAACTTGACCACTAACCAATCAAATTGATGACATGCTAATAATTCATTGGATGGGCAGCAGATTTCATCTCTAATTTAAGATGGACGAAAAAGATTTAAGATGGACGAAAAAGGAAAGCAAGCCTATGCAAATGGGACGGAGGGAGTATAAGTTATCATGCTTTCAAAATTTATTATTGTTTCTTCATATGCTTCTAATAAGGTATAGCATTTCCGCTTAAGGTAACTGGTTTTTAAAGTGTTTTTTAAGTGAACAGATTCACTACAATTATCTACAAAATATCTATGGTTGAGTAAAATTGTAAATATTGGCATTGATATTACCCTTTATCCCCATTCTTATGGCATCCTTTCAATTACATGTTAACAAAGTGATTCCTTTGCTAGTTAGGATTCTCTTGCTTTTTGGAGCTGCGCTCATGGCTGTATTATTTTTGCCTTTATACTAACAAGCTTTGAAAAACGCTTGTACATTTTGACCTCAAACTCTAGTTTTCCACATCTTGTATTGTCTAGACTTAATTATTTCGTTGGCCAATATAAATTTTAGCTTTTTGGAGCTTGTGATTCCTTCAATTTCTATACATCCTCTGATTTCTATGTTTATGTTGTATTGAGAGACGAAAATTTAATGAGTAAAATATACTAGTTTACCAGTAAACTTATAGTGTCCCAAATGCACAATAATTTATTGTTCAACTTGGTTTTAATGTTCTAACTTACCATGGCAGGCGATTGCTGATGATTCAGGAGGGTCAGTTTTCCAGACAGTGGCAAACTCTGTAATGGATATGGAACATTCCAAGCCCGGTTCGTCTGAACTACTCGTCACTGGGTTGCTTCAGCGACTGTCAAGGTTTGCTATTTATATCCTAGTTTTTCCATCCTTTGTTCAATGTGAGGTTACTGTAAAATGGCACAAACTTCTGACTTGGAGCTAAAAATATGCAGTTCAAACGAAAAGTCACTGAAGGACCTTCAGGAGCTTGCATCCCGCATCTTTGCAAAGGGCAAGACTGAAATACCAGCTACAAATGCGGAAACCGATAGCAAGAAAAAGCAGCAAAATAAGGAGCTTCATTCAAATGCCAATATGAGCCCACTTGCTAGGTTCTTGCTCTCAAGGTACGTGAGAAAGCTGCTGACCCTTACTTATCTTGTAAAATAAATATATATTGTGCCTGTATTAGACCCATCAAGTACCTGATTAGACAACTAGAGCTTGTTTGGTTGTGCTTATAAGTTACTTTTCTATAAAAGTAAATTGACTTGCTTTTTTAGCATACCAAACATGCTCACAAGTCATAATCAGGTCGATGTTGCCTTTGCATCTACAGTAAGTAAAGTTGTATAATGAATAAATATAGAATGCTGTGGCATGTTTTTATAGCGTTGCTCGGCTAATCTCACTGGCGCTCTTGCTTACTATATTAAGTTTGGTGTACTGATAATCCATTTCCTCCGCTTTCAAATGCAGATGGCAAGGCCATGTTTCTCGAGATCTAAATACTTGAAACATGAGGTTAGATAATTATTTTTTTGAGTTATAATTTGTGTTCTTATTTTCAGAATTTAAATTGAATAAATGTAAATATCATTTAAAGAAACTGTTAACTTATATTTCCAATCATTTTTGTTCTTTTCTTGGTCATATAGTTGGTGTACATTTAGCTTTTGCTAATTTGATTTATCTATGTGAGAATATAAAAGAAAATTGCGGTTCCGAAGGTTAACTTTTTGGCTATGAATTAAAATTTAGTCAAGGTTTTTGCCAGTTAGATCATACAAAGTTTATCACTTTATAGCCAAAATAGACATTATGATCTATCTTCGCATCAAGTAGAAACGGTTATGGCATGTTAGGTATGTATGCTAGACAAGCTTACTCAACATTAAGAACAATGCTAAAAAGAGAATTTTCCATTGTCCACATGCTGCACGCCTATTTTGGCGATGGATGATAGCATCCGAGGTTTCTACCCCTTAGGGTCCGTTCCATTAGGTATGAATTTTGCTTTTGCTTTTGTTTTCTTCAGAAGAAATTTTGGGGGAAGTTATCCTTATTTTTGTTTGGAAACTAATTTTTGAAAGTGATTTTTATTCTCAAAGTTTTTAGAGTCGTATTGAACTAATTTCCTTTAAAAATTCTAACTAGAAACACATTCATAAAATTTGTCAAAAAGATCAAAAGTAGCTTTTGAATCTCAAAAGCTTCTTTTGACTTTTCAAAAGTCATGTCAAAAGAATCCTTATAGTAGTTTGTAACCTCATTTGGTGAGTTTAATAGTCTAACCGGGTTGGTTGTACAGGTCTGTATAGGCCACTCACACATTCAAGGGTTGGGTGATTTTTTTTTTATTTTTTAAATAATCACCCACCCATCTCGGCATGCATCTGGCCTATACAGCCATAATTATTCTTAACAGCCTATGGTGACTGCAGCCATGGTTCCATAGCTGATGTGGGTTTGGATCAGGTTGATTTTGACATACCTTTATCTCAACTATTACATCCACGAAATTGATTGCTATATTATAATTTCGCCAATTGAGAGTAAGGTTTTAGTTTGGTTTAAGATACATAGCTTTAGCTGGATTGATGAAAAATTATTTGTAAATTTTTATTACAGAATTATTGTATATTTCAAAATCAGAATTTGAGTATTTGGTAAATAAAATTAAATTACTTTTGGGTAATTATTTATATTCATGATATTCAAAACACATTTTTTGTTTGTCACAACACCTATTTTTTTAAGAGGCGACACGCGGACACCATATTCTAATTATACTGAAGGTTTCCTTAACCTTTGCTCATTATCGCATGTGTCCCAATCTTTTTCAACCTTATATTAATTGATGCATACCATTTTGAATGATTTTTTCCATTAATATTTTGTTAGGAAGCATGAGAAAACTTAGGATCCCTCACATTTTAAATAATCAAAAAATAAAAGTTCGACAAACTTTTTCCTCTCATTTCAAAGTATGGTAACAAAGTATTTTTGGACAAAAACTATCGTCAATGACAAGATCTGCTAATGTATGAAATATTGATGATTAAAATGCAACTAAAATTAATGGGGATTCAGGAGCACTTTTGAGCAAAGGTCCTACTTTTAGTACAATTAAAATGTGGCACGATGTGAAGTTGTGGTGTCAATATAATTATACATTACTTAATTATTGTGTCACATACAATTACTAAAAGGCTAAATATATTGTGAATGCATTTTTTGACAACAGCACAACACTATACTTGCAAGATTTATAACCTTTCCTCAATACCATAATTATACCATCTCATTCTTATTGTCACATGCTTAATCAGTACACTTTGTCTCCATAATGTTCTGTCCAAAAATTTTATTAAGAGGGAGTAAAAAAATTTATTTGCCTTACGAGGGTGTAAAAAGGTTTATTGCCTCTCGTATTTTAAATAAGGGAAAATTGCAGTCATAATATCAAACCTTTTATTTGTGTCACCTTAGGTACCTAATCTTTAATAAAATCGCAGCTTAAGTCCAAAATGATGTTTTCCATCAATTTGACCTTAGAAATTGTCAGTTAACCCAGAAATAGAAAATTTAATAATTTCTTCCAAATTTAATAATAATTTCTTCCCCAACCCCCCTCAATACCTAAACCAAAACCAATTCTACTAGGTGTACAGATTTTGGCTCACAGAAAATGCCCAGATGAGCTGGCAGCATAATAATAATAATAATAATAATAATAATAATAATAATAATAATAATAATAAGTTTAGAAAAGTCAGACCAACTGTCCCGTCCCATTTAACCCCCTTTCACCAACCCAACACTCATTCTCTCGCCCCACAAACCCGCCGAACAGAGAAAGAAACCCCAAGAGTTCGTTGTCAGCTAGGTTGTCACATCTCCAGCAAATTCGTTCTACTAAATCACGAAGAAGCCCAAGCTTTCCAAGAAACCCTTATCTCCTACCCGTTTTATTGCGGCCGTAGCTCTCCATTCCAGCAAAAGGGAGACGTCTTCAAACCTTATCTCTTACCCATCCTCTACACATTTTTTGAACGGCAAGTGTTTTGATTTTTTTTTTTCTTATAGTCATAATGTTATTCGAAGAAGAAGACAGAGAGCATACAAGAATAACAAGAAAATCAAAATTACCATCTTCCCCCATTTTGCAGTTCTATAATGTTCTGTTGGATTTTATTGTCCTTCACTTATTTTTCATTATTTAATGTTGTAAATTGTGTATATAAAAACTTGATTCTCACATATTTATGCTAAGTTATAATCTTGCAATTTCTAGAACTATAAGGTAGAAAGTCGAATTTTCAGTGCATATCATTTAATAACCATGAAGAAATTGTAATGAAAGACTTTGACAAGTTTTAGAAAGACAAAAAGAAGTTGAAAGAGTTCAAATTCTACTCCAGTTTCGAATGAAATAAAAGCAGCGTTGCTTCATGCTGCAGTCAACATTTGTGTTCGTAATTAAGCTAGATAGAGTCACGTTAACTGCTAGCAAATGTTAAGAGACATTGTCCACTTAAGTTTTTAATTATTGCTTTCCTCATCTATTCATTATATTTTTCATTGGGGTTTCGGCTTTGACTGCAATTTGGTGGTATAAGCTGCTCAATTTCGAACTCCTAAATATTGTTTGCCATGTCGGGATGCGAGGGAGGAATTTCGGTGTTTGTCACAGTTGTAGAAGCTCCGATCACTACTTTGAAGATTGCAAGAGAAAAGTTCGTTGTCCACGGTCTGTAGTGGGAATTCGAAAATGTTTTGAGGTTGAAAAGGAAGGCAATAACAAAGGCCGACTTTTCAGAACTTGCAACAACTCTTGTGGATTTTTTGACTGGGTAACAACGGAAGAATCGAGTGTAGAGTCGAGTGCCATTAATGAAGTGATTAATCCTACTACCAATGAGGAAGTCAACGAGTTGCCGGGCATGTTCTAACCTCTAGCTCGAATTGCAAACAAACAAAACATCGAGGTTTCGTTGAACTTGACATTCTGCAAAGGAAAGGAGCCGTCGGAGGATAATGGAAAAGGAAAGGGGCCGAAATGAAGAATAGCTCTATTCATTCTTGCTAGATACAATGGTTTGAGTTGTTGGGGTTGTGATGTCATGAGAGGATGTAAAAAAAATGGAAGAATCCAACAAGTGTTGTTATTCTAGTTTGCATTGACTTTATTTTAGTTTTGTCTTGAACATTTTGGTAATTTAAAGTAGTGATCGACATTGTGTGCATGAATTAGCTTGTTGAATTTATTTCATGGCACATGGCTTTTTTGTGGGTATGTATCTATTTTCGAATTCTTAATTTGAATTGATGAATTTTCTTGCTGGATACAATGGTTCAATGGGTCACTTGTTGGTATAAACCTCAATAGAGAATCAGAAAAGCAAGCCAATAGCATAATGGAGTAATCGCAGAGGTGACTGGACATTTTCAATGACTTTTGTCTAGAATGAGAGGGAATATATGAACTTTTAACCCTCTGCCTTTATTGATGATGACTCCAACTATATTTAATAGTCTTACAGAATGCAGGGAAGAAACTAAGAATTAGAAAAACAACCACCCACTAAGGTAAAAATCAGATAAAGGAACAAACAAACAAACTATCCAAAAATGAGACAATCAACACTGCTTAAGAAATGGATGAACAAAATTCTTCTCTTCCAAAAAAAAAAGAGCATAAATAAATGGCACCTCCTACAGTAACTGATCATATTCATTTTTCCATTGTTAAAGATACATCCCTATACAAATAGGAATCCTGAATATTCAATCCCAAACACCACATAAACACGCACCCGAATTCAAAAAAGAAAAGTTCCAACTAAAAGCTTGGTGAAAATTGTTAGGTTTCTACTGTGGCCTCTTAGCAAAAGTGATCAAGAACCATCTTTATAAGCAAAAATCCACATCTTCTAGTATGGCTTTGTTGGCTTAAAAAATGAATCATTTTTAGTCTAGTCTTCTTCTTCTTCTTCTTCTTCTTCCTCCTCTTCCAGTTAGTACTTAGCCAGGGCCACCTTGTTGGGGAAAATGTGGATGGTAGTATGGAATCGAAGGACCTATTATAGAATATGAACATAAGCACATGCATAGTACAAAATCAAATGGAAATGGAAAGATGTGAACATGTGTAAACCTTGAGAGGTCGACATGGGATTTGTTGACGTTGGATGGACCGAACTCGAGGCTGGCAGGTGCTGTGGGTATGCATGATTTTCAACGTCCCCCTATATCGAACAATAACTCAATTATTAGTATCGAACAAATAATGATATTAAACTAAGTCACATGAATATACTAACCAACAATAGTTGTGAATATGAAAAAGGAGCCTGCATTAAATATGGTTGAGATGCTTGAACGTAGGGTGCAACCAATGGCGTGTTACTGTGACTCGACGTTTGCCTCTTTCCCTTTGATGTAGTCTATACGTAAACATGTCTTACAAATATGATGTAGTATAATATAGTTTACATTAACAAAAGTAATGACGACCATACCTTTGCCTTCTTTGAAGAGGACTCCAACGGACTTTTTTTCGAAGCTTCTTTGGTGCGCCCTTTCTATTAGTTGATACAGGATCACGTACGCACCCGCTTGCATTTTCTAAGTCACCAACAACATGTAAAATGACATTACTCCCACTATCTGACTTTATCTTGAGCAACTCTTATTTTTGGTTACTTATCCATGCCTTTATCGCCAAGGACCGCACTTCATTATTGGCAGCGAACTTTGCAACCTCTGCAAATTCTCGACACATTTCATCGTATCTCAACTGTTCGAGAGTACTAACCAAACCAGCGTAATCCACTGCAACCCTTGTGTGTGCTCTGAAAACATCTCGCCTCCATCGCCATAGTATATACCTCTCAGGCAGTGATGTGACATCATTACGGATCAGTATGATGATAGCATGTTGACATAGAATTCCCTAAAACTCAAACAAGTGACAACTGCAAACAATTTCACACGTATCTCTATGGAACGAGACAAAGAACTTTTTTATCTTTCGTCGCTCGTCACACATGACAACCTCACATAATTCGTACGTTATCCCTACAGTACCATCCATCGTAGATATGATGTCACAATAAAGCTTCCCATTGAGTTCGACTTGAACTTCCCTGAATTTCAAAATGATATAACACTTCTGATACTGTTTCTCCATTTCAAACATTGTTGTACACGGTACCATTTGCAAGTATGACTTGAAGTCAGCCTGAAACTCTTTCTCAACTTTATTTCTGAGTGCTTGTTCATATTGCTCGACAAACTATTTCAACGAGGTGTTCGAATGAACATACCCGTCGAAGAAGGCATTCATACTCTCACTGCACTGAGTTGTCGACATTCATGCCCAAAATGTGGTCTATAAATAGCAAGGAACCCATCGACCTCTATTTTCGAACAATCCCGATAACCAATCATTAATATGCAAGTCATATGTGTCCAGCATCGCACTCCAACCTTCTTCGAATTCTTCAACAAATTGTGAGTCATACACTAAGCCATGTATGCTCGAAAAAATCGAAGCCTTATCACTGTGGTATCCAAAATTTTCTGACAATTTCTTCAGAATATGCCACAAACACCATCTATATTTTGTACCTGGAAAAACAATCCTAATCGCATTTTGCATGGCCCTATCTTAATTAGTAATGATTCTGTGGGGAGCTTTTCCATACATACACTGAAGCCACGTCCTAAATAGCCACACAAAGGTATTCGTGTCCTCATTTGACAACAAACCACAACCGAGTAATGTTGATTGTCCGTGATGATTAACTCCAACAAAAGGGACGAAAGGCATATCGTACTTGTTAGTTAAGTAAGTGGTGTCAAATGTGACAACGTCGCCGAATTCTTTGTATGCTTCCCGACACCTATTATCTGCCCAAAATACATTTCTCAAACGAGACTCATCTTCCAAATCTATGCTGAAGTAGAATCCCGAGCAATGAGCTTGCATCCTGGAAAAGTAGGGCTGTATTGCTGCGGCATCTCCTTCCCCAAGCCTTAATCGTTTCACTTGTTCAACATAATTTCTACAATCCTTTTCCACGCAAGTAATATTTTCATATCCACCTGCTTCAACAACTACGGAGTTGTAGCTTTTATGCAATGGAATTCCTACCATATCATTTACTTCAAGCTTCTGTTTCACATGTGAACTCAACTCCCAATTAAAACGATACAACCTCGACTTCGAAGGACTTGTTTTATGTTTGTGGTCGAGGTGGACTTTGTTAATTCTCCAGATCCCATGATAATCTGAACATGCAGTGATCCTAGCTTTACAATTTGTCTGAATTGTTGGTTAGGGCTTCAAAGAATCGCTTGTACTAGTTGTTCTTCGACCTTCACGGCTACATGTGAAGGTGACATATTTCATTTTCCCATCATCCCCTTTTTTTGAATTCCTTCTCCTAACTGGAAACCCAACATAATACGCATATCCTTTATAAAAGTCCCACAATTCTTTTTCTTCATTGAACGTCATTCCCACCTTCGGCACCATCGGATCATTTTTTCCTAACGTTTGCTCTTCCAATGATATTACATTGTCCGCAACATTCTCATCAGCGGTGTCTTCCATACTTGCTCCTATTGTAACACAATGAGCGACAACGTTCAGTACATCTCATCCTTCAGTTATAGGCAATTTATAGAAGTAGACAGTTCTCAGATTCAAAATCTTATTGGGGCATTCTTACACCTTCTATTGCATTTATGAAGGGACAATCGTGGAATCAAATTCTTAGCCGTTTCACCATTGAAGGTATCAATGCAAGGGTAATAAAAGACAAGATGCATAAGTGTATGAAATATATGCCCAATGGCCATGCTTATTTGTAAAAACCAAGAAGTCATTTGCATGTTAATAGTCTTAACCTTAGAAGAACAACTATAAAAATGACACTACCATCTTCAAGAAACATCAAGGTATTGACACTATAAAAAGGATACTACCATCTCAAACAACCAACGTTTACGAATGTTTCGATTTGGCACCGTGCATTTTCAACAAATTTATGAGAAAATGAAATCCATCTAAAACATAATGACATTACCTGAGCTTGGCTCCACTGGGTTTTCCGGTGTCGGGGAATTGCAGATTCGGCCACTGTTGGAGTTGATTATCACCATCTTTACAGTTGGGGAACAATGGTTTCGATTTGGAGAGAAAACTTTGCGAAGGGCAATGATGGGTTGGGGGAACGACTTGCAAAGGGCAATGATGGGTCAGGGGATTTCGCCTTCACAGGCGGGAAAAAGAAGGCGGGACTTTTCCTTTTGGTCTTTTACGCCTCTGCTAGCTTCATTTGGGATTGTAGATTTTCATTTAGCATATGTGCTATTCAAAGTCAAACTGACCAGTTGCTCCATCACGTGAATAGCACATGGTTTCTAAAAATTTCAAATTTCTGTGCATTTTTCTGTGGACCAATTATGTACATGAGGCATTTACTACTCCAACCAGCTGTCAACTGCTATTGCCACTGTCACTGCACCATCTTCGACATCGTCGATGCAACCTAAATTTATAGGTTAAGGGACCTCTATGGAGTTCCACCGGAAGAAGCACGGGCTGCGATAACTGTCGAATCTTCTACTGGTACATGGACAAATGTGTGGATTGATGGACTTTCTAGCCTTGATCCCTATATCGTTCCATTCCATTTAGGATTAGGAATAGGCATAATCAGACCTGCATCTAAATCTTCCCCTCGAATCCACCTAATGGTTGCCTTCTTTAACCGAAATGCAAGTCAGCAACTCAAAATTGGAAGTGCATTTTCCAATGAAATTGGCCGGCAACATTGACACTGTAGGGATTTAGATGATTCAGAATTTAGTGATGGTGGTGCCACATGGTGGGTCCCACTCGAGGTGGCCGAATTGTGGATCTTGGAATTCGCACCTATTGCGAGTTTGGTGCTCAAATTCGGTGGAATTTCTTCAACAATTGGATCAATAGGCTCCCTACCCATTGTTGATTGGCCTTGAATTAGATGTTGGCTGGTTGAATTCGATGGATTAAAATAGAGGAGCAGTTGTGCGTTGTGTTGGATGGTGCTCGATTCCTAAGGAGCAGTTGCTGCATTGTTTTGGCCGAAAATCATTCCATGTGCAAGGGGGTAAACAGATGGTGGTCGACAAACGTCAAAGTGACCAGACATTGTGCTTTTTAGAGGTAGGCCGTGTGCAACCCTTGACGAATTTTCTTTAATTACTTCCTCAATTGGTAATGTTTGTGTGGATGGTTTGTTAGAGTGTGTCGAGAATGTTAAACTTCCAATATGATAGGCATTTTCTGATGGCTTTGGCAGCATGTTGAGCTTGGTTTGAATGTAGAGATTGGGTTGCTAAAGAAAGAGATAGGGTGGGATGTGATTTTTTTATTTTTTTTAGCAGGGGAAATGTATTATGTCCAAAATGACCTTAACTTATTAGGGAGAAATTACTAAATTTTTAATTTTTGGGGTCAACAGACGATTTCTAAAGTTAAATTGATAGAAACCATCATTTTGGACTTGAGTTGCAATTTTTAAAAATGTTTGGTACTTTTGGTGACATAAATGAAAGGTTTAGATAAACTCTGCCATTAATTAAAATGTTTAGTATTGTGGTTGCAATTTTCCCTTTACAATATATCCACCATAGTTTGAACAAAAAAAAAATAATATCCATTAAATCTTAAAAATTATAAAATTGAAAAAATAAGAGCAACAATTTGGATTCCAATTCCCCATTTCCACATAATAGCGAAAAAAATCAAATAAATTAAAATTATCTTTATTGCAAAGTATTAGAGGATAGCTTGTGATGGCAATTTACCCTGCCCCATTCCGGTGTCGCCCCTCCTTGAACGAGGCAAAAAAACCCACCCCGTGGCGGGGCGTGGGGCGGGGCGTAAATGGTCGCCCTGTAGCGGGGCGCGGGGCGGGGCGAGGATGCCCCGCCCCGTGAAGAAAAAGTAAAAAAAAAAATTAAAAATAATTTTATTTTTAAACAATTCATCCGTTAAAAACTCATTTTAAATTTGTATTTTATTATCTAATAATAACATAATTCGAAACTTTCAAAATGTAAAAAATAAAAATAAAAAATTAAACGGGGCAAAAAGTTGCCCCGTCCCCTCCCCCCGAACCCGCCCCGTTGCCATCACTAAGGACAGCTCATCACTTCCAGCTCATCTCATCTTGGCGCCAAATTCACATAATCTAGTTAGCTAAATCTGTCAGTTTGTTAGTTAGAATACAGCTGTAAAAATCAGTTAGTTCTAATTTTATTTATACGGATAAGATATATTCATTTTTCCATTCTGAATTCCTATTTTGAATAAAGAGATTTCTTCCCTCTAATTCTTCTCTCTAATATTGTATCAGAGCAAGCCTTTATGCTTCTCCTTCATTGTCTCTGATTTGATCAGCAAATGGCTACAGAAAATCCGAATCAATCCGCACATGATTCTGCATCATCATCCAGCAGTTCCGTAATTGATGATGGATCAAACCCCTACTTTCTTCACCATTCAGATAGTCCTGGTTTAGTGCTCGTTCCACAGCCTCTTACAGGAGACAATTATGCTTCCTAGAGCCGAGCTATGGTAATTGCATTATCTGTGAAGAACAAGTTAGGTTTTATAGATGGATCCATTTCGCCTCCTGAAAATTTTGGTCATCTGCTCAATACTTGGATCCGGAACAACAACATGGTGATTTCGTGGATTCTCAATTCGGTGTCAAAGGAAATATCAGCAAGCATGATGTACTCTGAGTCAGCTCATGATATTTGGGTTGATCTCAAGGAGAGATATCAACAGAAAAATGGTCCACACATTTTTCAATTGAGGCGTGAACTGATGAATCTAACACAAGGCTAATTATCTTTTAGTGCTTATTTTACCAAGCTGAAAACTATTTGGGAAGAACTTAGCAACTATAGGCCTTTATGTTCGTGTGGCAAATGTGTATGTGGTGGAAATAAAAAGCTTGCAGAACATTATCAAATGGAGTATGTTATGTCGTTCTTGATGGGATTGCATAAGTCCTTTGCTCAAATAAGAGGCCAGTTGCTGCTAATGGATCCAATTCCCCCAATTAATAAGGTTTTTGCTCTTGTTGCACAAGAGGAGAATCAAAGGAAGGTGAATGCAAATGTTGATATTTCCAACATTAATGAGTCGATGGCTTTTCATGTTAAAAATGAGCCTAGGAAGTCAACTGCAGGACAACAAATGAATAAGTTTCAGAAAAGAGAGAGGCCTAGGTGCACATACTGTGGATACACCGGTCATGTTATTGATAAATGTTACAAACTTCATGGCTTTCTTCCTGGATACAAGCCTAAGGAAAGGACTGGAGGATCAAGTAATCAAGGCAATTGTGCTGTAGCGGGTTTGATTTCAGCTTCAGATCAAACACAAAATAAGGTTGGGAATTTTATGCAAACATTAAATGCTGCTCAATATCAACATTTACTAAGCATGTTGAATGATCACCTCACTGCTGCAAAGGTTGAAACACAATAGAAAACTGGTCCCGATCAGATTACAAGTACCTCTCTTTCTATTTCATTCAAACCAATGTTAAACTCACCCACAATTTGGGTAATTGACTCTGGAGCTACAAGCCATATTTGCTCAAATCTTTATGCCTTTAACACAATGAGACCTATCCAGAATGCATCAGTGACTCTCCCCAATAATGTCAAAATTCCTGTCCAATACATTGGAAACGTAAAATTGTCACCTAAATTTGTCCTTGAAGATGTACTGTTTGTGCCTCAGTTCAAATTCAACCTTATATCAGTAAGCTCTTTGACAAGAAAGTCCTCATCGAGCATTAGATTCCTTACCGATACGTGTTATTCAGGTTTTGCCAACAATGAAAATGATTGACAAGGGTGAAAGGGCTGAAGATCTTTATATCATTGATACCAGTTGCTTTAATTCAATGCACAATAATGTTATTAGTTCTGATTTTTCATGTAATTCTGTATGATCATCAAACAATGTAAATAGCCATATTTGGCATCATAGACTTGGGCATTTGTCTTTTAAGAAACTAGACATGATGAAAGATTTGTTAAAGTTTGATGTGAGGAAGAAAGATTTCCATATTCCATGTCATGTATGCCCTTTGGCCAAACAAAGAAGGCTTTCATTTGTCTCTAATAATCATCTGTCTCATGCTGCTTTTGATTTAATTCACTGCAATGTTTGGGGCCCTTACAATGTGGTTACACATGCTGGTTACAAATATTTCTTAACATCGGTAGATGATTGCACAAGGTTCACATGGGTTTATTTGATGAGACAAAAATCTGACGTCACTTTCATCATCCCTAGGTTCTTCTCCCTAATAGAAACTCAGTTCAATAAGGTGATAAAAGGTTTCAGATTTGATAATGCTAAAGAGTTGATGTTCTCAGATTTGTTTAATGCCAAAGGGATAATTCATCAATACTCATGTGTCGAAAGACAAGAACAGAACTCCGTGGTTGAAAGGAAACATCAACATCTCCCCAATGTTGCTCGAGCATTATTCTTTCAGTCTAGAATCCCTATTCAGTTTTGGGGGGGAATGCATTCTTACTGCCACTTACATCATAAATAGAACTCCAGCTCCAATCTTACAAAACAAAACTCCATTTGTATGTTTGTACAAAACTCCCGTGGATTACAATCATCTTAGAACATTTGGAAGTCTTTGTTTTGCTTCTACTTTGCCATCTCATATAACGAAATTCCATCCAAGGGCTAAGGCATGTGTGTTTGTTGGATATCCTCCAGCTATCAAAGGGTACAAATTATATGACATTGCTTCAAAATCATTTTTCATTTCCAGAGATGTTGTTTTCCATGAACACATCTTTCCCTTTCAATCAATCTCATCATCCACAGACATTACTGACCCTTTCCTAGATGTTGTGTTGCCAAACGTGCCTCAAGACTTACCGTTGGATCATCCTCATATAAATGTCTCCTCTGCCAATAATTCCCATGATATTCTTCCTGTCCATACCTCCAATATTGACCATAATTCAGATCAATCCCACTCACCTATTCCTAGAAGAAGCAGTAGGCCAAGCAAGGCTTTTTCCTAACTTCATGATTTTCATTGTAATCTTTTAACCAAAAA